GTAGTGACTCTGAGATCATTTAAAGTTCCTCTGAGATAACATTTCATGTCTAAATTATGAAGATTTGGTCGTTTGGTGATAAATCAGCCTTTTTAGGTCAATATGTATTTTACTTTCATGTTCTCGATGATTACAAAAAAAATTCACGAAATAATCCGCAGAAATAGGGAATCTTGGAGTTAAGCATTAGGCTTCTTCTTCAAGTTAATTGTAAATATAGTTTATACACGATATTACTTTTAATTTGTTTGGACAAAAACTTAATTAGCCGTTAAAAGGAACCGCAAGTGTGAATGAATGATCCCTAAGAAGATAAAGCTCTTGGCAGACGAAAGAAGATAATTATGCAAATGGCGTCATAAAGAGTCGGCTTTGGGCAAGTTTTCATCATATGCGTAAACGGTTTTCATCATATGCGTGCTGATACTCGGAGAAAAGCTTTACCCAAACTTATAGAATTTTGTGTGGTCACGTCTAGTTGTTGCCTCTCTGAGGGACAGCAATACTCTTCCCCCGGAGGGGGGGGGGGGAGTCACTCAACAAAGATTTCTTTGGGGCAGGAACCTTGTATGGGGAGACTACGACCAGAGGTCAATCCCCTTACCCCTTTATATACCACTTTTGTCAGAAATGGTACCCCTTTCACATACCTAGCTTAGAACTTTGCCAGGTAGTTTTTAATTGCTGCAAATACACTTTCTAAACATATGAATAAAATACAAAACCAAAACGATTTCTCGACTATTTCACAGGCATGTGAAAGACATAAAATGAATCTGATAACCATCTTGGCCCTTTTTTTATATACTTCAACTAGTAAAATCCCTACCCTTTCATATACATAAAGCCTAATCCATTATAGGGATCGGGGTACCCCCAGGGAGTCGGGTGCCTCTCTGAAGGGCACCAATGTGGAACATCTGTCATGATTGAGCTCGCTGCGAAAGTGAGAATTCATAACTCGAGGAACTCGTAAAATTAAAGTAACAGATGTTAATGCTTATTCTAAAATTTTCTAAAGTTTCAGAACCCGCAGTTCAAGCTCTGTATGATGTCCCTGGCACTTTTCGCAATTTGTCTTATATCCCAGATGCATGGAAGTGAGGCTGTTGGTGGGCAATGCAAAACTTCAGAGAGATCAGTACCTGGTAAAGCTCTCAAGGGTCACACCTTCAAAGAGTTTGCAGCGAGGGCCATTGTTGAGTGCCAGAACACCTGTGAAGGAGACCCCAGGTGTGCGAGTTACAATTTCTACATCCCTGGCAAAGTGTGTGAGCTTANTGCATGGAAGTGAGGCTGTTGGTGGGCAATGCAAAACTTCAGAGAGATCAGTACCTGGTAAAGCTCTCAAGGGTCACACCTTCAAAGAGTTTGCAGCGAGGGCCATTGTTGAGTGCCAGAACACCTGTGAAGGAGACCCCAGGTGTGCGAGTTACAATTTCTACATCCCTGGCAAAGTGTGTGAGCTTAACAGCCATACCAAGGAGGAGAAACCTAATCACTTTGTGACGGATGAAGTGAGATTCTACATGAAACGTGAAGGTATGAACTATGTAAAACTTTGTACACCAAACACACTCTTAATTGGATCCCTTGATTCTCCTTATTAGTTTGTCCAGCTGGCGGGGCTAAACTTGAGTGCAATACCGGACCGAGTTTTCACGAGGTTTTGCAAGATATGTAGTTCCAAAACGAAACCAGTTAGATTCATGAGCCGATATACATGCTGTCAGTAGCATATCGAAAGAAAGTCGTTTTTGTATTCTGCAGATCGATGGCGTAGTTGATTAAGAAATAACTCACATTTTCCTTATGCTGTCACATTTATATATCATTAGATGAAGATGAGTGCTTGAAGACACCACCAGTTTGTGACGTCAACGCAAACTGCAAGAACACGCTTGGCTCCTACCTATGTTCTTGTAAAGAGGGTTTTACGGGTGACGGTAATACCTGTCAAGGTAAATGATCAGAAAAACATTGATTGAACGAAAATGTTAGTAACAAGTGTGTGCTTTTTATTGCATTATTTGAAATGGTTTGCTGAGTGGGCGCAGGAACGCAGTGGTATCACCTTTTTGTTCTTTGTTGTTTTATCTTCAACAATTTGACCATAACTGAGGCTAGTGGGACTTCGTTTGTCGCGGGCTGCACTCTTTATAAAACAGGCGGACATTAGTCAAAAGAAATAACCATTAACAATTGCGCTTTTCTCTGTCGCTGTCGCAGCTTCAACCCATCTTTGTGTCGTTTGTCGCCATTTTGCTGCCCTCTGTCGCTTTTTCAAGGCCATTTCACTTCAGTGTCGAAATTTAGTCCAACAGGGCCTCAAGAAAGTGGCCAAAACTAGTGTAATCCACGGAGACGCACCTAAGGGTGGGGCTACACAAATACCACTGTTGTATGGGCCTGATGGGTTTAAAGTTTGAAAACAAAAAAAAGGAGTGTAAAAATAAGACGATACCATTAATGTTTTGTATGCACCTAATAAGCCTTCATTGCCAGAAAAAACTGCGTACGGACAAGTGGTTAAAGCCTTTTTCTCGCCACTTTCATTTAGTCTCTAGCTAGCCTAAATTATGTGTGTTTTCTTGGCCTAAGTAAGAGTAAGTTAGCAATACAAGTATGAGTCTACCGTAAACCACGCTAAGCACTCAGGGTGAGCTCTGTCGAAATAATTCTGAAGCGTACGTTTTCATGGTAAGTTAAAAGATAGAACTCAATAGAGCTTAGAGTGCGAACTTCAAATCGAGAGTCGAACTCGAACTCGAATGCGGCGAAGAGGATTAGGTAATTATTTGTGCGTTTTCATATTAAGGATCACTTCGATAAAACTGAAAGGAAGAAATCAAAATCGGGGTCGAACTCGAACGGGGCGGACTCAAAAGGGGGGAAACCGGAAGATTCCTTTACGTTCATCCAGAGATTAATAAAGGAGGTATACAGAGGAAACACATTTCCTTTCTTTGGGTAGGTAGCGAAGGACATAACGAACAAACCATCAGTTTTTCCATAAAATGATGTGTCTTCTGGCTTAGCCACCTTCCTTATTGTCGCACGCAATCAAAGAAAACTGTAATTTATCATCAAAATGATTTTCTACGAAAGATCTCAACAGATGATTGAAGGAATCATTCAGAAGAAAAATTATCTTCTTCTAAATAGGTCAATACATTCTATTTACTATTTTGCAGACATCAACGAGTGTGAGACAGGAAAGCATCACTGCGATTCCAATGCTTTCTGTAACAACACTAAAGGCTCTTACATTTGCACATGCAAACCAGGATATAAAGGAAACGGCGTTAATTGCACAGGTAAGATAAGGAAACGAAAACCGTCAGCTGATAGCAATAACCTGAAACCATTTCTATTTAACGAATGTTTTCGAGTTGCATTAAGCTGTATGTTACATCTTTAGGGGTTCTTTAAAATAGTAAAAATATGAAAGAATCCGATAGGCTGCTTGTGAAAGGCTCCCTTGTCAGAGTTTGGGGTGCATTAATGCGGTTGTGCCGTCAGCTGGTGCCGTGGAAACCAGCGATAAGAATAGAGCGATTTCACAGTATTTTCAAGTTTACTACACAATCAGTAAATTAGTGGTGAGGAGAGAACAATACCAGAACAATACTATAGATTCACTTTGTTTTAAATCGCTGGTTAGAAATTAAGTGGACCTCTAGAGCCTGCGTGTGTGTGTGGGGAGGGGGGACTGCACCCGTCGCACCCCCCCTCCCTACGGGCCTGATCTAGGGTGTTTTAAAACAGTTCAACATGAAAGGGCTCGTTGTCATCCTGGTAGCAGGCAAATTTGTGCGAGTTTGGGGTTATTCTGGCTCGAACCGGCGAAGCCGATGAAAAGAATGGGGTAATTCTCCAGGTCCATACTTAACGTTTTAAGAATATTAGACTGTAAAATAGTCCGTATTTTTGCGTATTCAAGTACGCGCGAGCAGTCAAACATAAGGTCTGGAAAAAGGCTGAAAAAAGAGAGCGAGACTAGGGAGAGACGCTAAAAATACTCGCTTAACACGCCCGTAGGGCGTGTGAGGCTCCCGAGCTTCAAGCGTGCAAGACTCTTACGCCAGCTTTTCCAATTTCTTTACTGATTTTGAGAAAAAAAAACCGACTGTTTTGAAGTCTATAAGAATATTTGCATATTTGACAAACAATCATTAGCCCATACGCAGTTTTCGTAACAGCTTTTCTGGGTGTTTATTGGTCGGTTGCAGACTGACTATTGTAGATTGGCTCTAGCCACTTGATGGGCTCCTGCTCTAGCCTGAGTATCAGGCCTTATTCCATAGGGGTTGCGGGAGAGGAGATTTGACATTTTACGCGAATGAATAGGAATGATATCTGGGGAGGGGGAAGGGAGGCAAAAGGAGATAAAGAATCATTAAAAAAATATGATAAACCTAAAATTGTCGGTTCTGCCACACTTGAAATTCATTAAGACATGCTAATTGCCACGTGAATTTTTAAGTAATTTAAACTATTCTTTAATAGTTTCAGAATTTATGACTGACTCGCAGATTTTGAACAGCAGTGATTACTATTTTCGTCATTTGGGCAATTTTCTGGAGACTGCGGTTGGGAACAATTCTCACTGGATGTTGTCCTGGCGTGCTACATTGCATGGCTGGAATGTCGGTCAGTTTCACAGTCGCTGTGATGGAAAGAACGACACTGTTACCATCATAAGGAAAGGCAAATTCATCTTTGGCGGATACACGGATATTCCCTGGGGTAAAAAAAAACTAATTCCCTTATTTTATCCTCTTTTTTTACTACAATGTAACAGCTTTACAATTCTGATCTACTTGCACTGCTTATCAGAATTTATTATTATTATTTTTATAAAGTTGAAATGTCACTCTTGGTTTGTCACCTTGTAATGATGGTGAAGTGTTTTTGTGTAATGAACCTAGTTACCTTTGCCAGCGTGGGTCTTAACGTCAATAGGTCTGGTCGCCCTTATTTTTAATTCAAACTGAAGACAAGAAAACGATTTTTTTTTTCCTGAGCAAGCTATGCTTAACGCAAGGTCTCGGTGAATTCCACCCATCCCCAGGAACTTTCGTTAAGGGTTCGATCCATCTGTGATGACAATAAGGTTTCCTTCAAGGGAAGTGAAGTTTCTTCCTTCCTTAGCGCGTGAGTTGTGACAGATCTGTGAATGGAATGTGACAAACATTGGATTTCACAGACTTGCGGATCGTGCCATTTCAAACGCAAAGAAGCTAAATGTAGTGATGCCGGTGAATGCATCAAATTTTTGTTACGGAAGCTACCCACCCATTACAGTGTGTGTCAAGGATGTGTCCCGCCTAAGAGAATATGCACAGCAAAACCATATATTTTTTATACGGACAGTCAGTAAAGCCTGGCCAAGTGTCCTTGTCCTAGACATTCTGTATTAGAGTGATGGGCCAACAAGATTGTTCGTAATAAAACGGAGTCCGCATGTCCGTATGTCTAGTATCGATCCAATGGTTCTAATTTACACGTAGAGCAGAATCAGTTTATTACTATTCTGAGAAATCTCCAGTTATTAAGTTTGGTAACCTCATAATTTATCTCACCACTAAGAAATAATTGCGTTAAAAGTGAAACGCTTGCTAAAAGAACTTGAATCCTTCGGTTGATTCCCTGATCATTCGATAGGGCTATTGCCAGTTACCTTTAACTCAATTGTATGTAATAGATCGTTTTCACTGTCACGCAACAAAAAAATAAATTGAAAACCGTCTGGTGAAAGAAGCCAAGAAAATGATATGTTATAAAAGACTAACTTTTAAACAATTTTTCCAAGTCTCATGTCTTTTTGGCCCACAGTTTCTGAGTTATTTGCCGAAACGTTTCACGCATCTTTGTAGAGCTTTGTATGGAGACGCCATATTGGTGCACAGTTTTGGTGCACCAATATGGCCGCCGAAAATCAACAAAAACATCTGGAGTTCACTTGCTCTATAAAAGCTCCTTCTTTTCACTCGAGAACTAGCCTACGTGCGCATAAACATATCTTCTAATACCTGAAATGGTTATACTACTGAAAATAAAGAGGAGAGACGTTTTTTCAACGAGACAGCATTCTTATTTTGGTGTCACGCACTCTGAAAACTCGGAAGTTCAAATTGCTGTATTTTCGAAATGAAACATGCTATGGGACTGAAAACTTGTACAAAGATTAACTTTTTGTTTATCTTCAACCTAGAGTAAACAAGAATTCGTAAAACCTCGCTATTTTGCCTTTACAATTTGATGACGTCACTGTGAAAACCATCTATAGATATTAGTTTAAGGTGACTCGACCCAGTTTTTTTGGGGGGGTACCATCCTACTTTGAAGCTCTCTGGTATCCCCACCTTTACTTTTATCGTAAGTCTAACACATAGAATGGATAACATATAGATCAATCTACAATATAACATAAAATTTTTGGCGATCGGAGTAAATGTCACGTGGTTATAATGCCACGCCTCTTTGAGGTCTGAGTCGAAAATCTGCTGCTGCCGGCATTTTTTGGTGAAAATCTCTCGGCTACACATAGTGCGCATTAGTGCCTTGCGCTGAACAGAGTTTCACCAAAATCGCAAAGACCCAATTCGAGAAATTCAGCGGTTTCCAAATTTAGGTCATAATTTATGCGAAAATGATAAGCAAACTTTACACGGATTATATCTAATAAACTATGAGATTCATCTCTTTATTTTGGGCATCGTTATAACAGATGGGTCCTTGCAAGTCAGCAAAACGCTTTAGGGCCTTGTAAATGCGCGCGATTTCGAGCAAAGCAAACATATAGAAATTATAGTTTTCGCTATTTGTTGACGTTTGTCAGCGTTTAAGAGTCCTTCTCACGAAAAAAGCATTTTCTTAAAAATTCGTAGTTTTTTTTCCTTCAAATTTTTTCAGGGCCACAATTGATTAACTAACTACCCGGACTCTGAATTTCATGGTCATTGAAAAACTGTGACATTATCTTCTATAAGCCCAAACTTGAGTAAACATTGAAGATTTTTAGCGTTTTGGCTGAGTTTGTGCTTTGGGAGTTGTCTATTGTTTCTAGTCTGTCATTATACAGCATTCTTGTTCAGCACGCGTGCAATGACCACGCTTGGCTGACTTCCGAATGCTCACCGAGATATTCCCGTCACGAGTTGGTTTAATTATTGGCTTGCATTAAACCTATGAAAAAATGATATTTTTTTAATAGTAAGTAGATTTAGTGTGTAGCACTTCTTGATTTTTTTGCAAAGGCACAAGAAGCACGAGAATTGATTAAAAATTGTGACTTAAACCTCTATGTATCACGCGATGGCCTGTCTCACTGTACCAAAATTATTATATCTCGGTGAGCATTCGGAAGTCAGCCAAGCGCGGTCATTGCACGCGTGCTGAACAAGAATGCTGTATAATGACAGACTAGAAACAATAGACAACTCCCAAAGCACAAACTCAGCCAAAACGCTAAAAATCTTCAATGTTTACTCAAGTTTGGGCTTATAGAAGATAATGTCACAGTTTTTCAATGACCATGAAATTCAGAGTCCGGGTAGTTAGTTAATCAATTGTGGCCCTGAAAAAATTTGAAGGAAAAAAAACTACGAATTTTTAAGAAAATGCTTTTTTCGTGAGAAGGACTCTTAAACGCTGACAAACGTCAACAAATAGCGAAAACTATAATTTCTATATGTTTGCTTTGCTCGAAATCGCGCGCATTTACAAGGCCCTAAAGCGTTTTGCTGACTTGCAAGGACCCATCTGTTATAACGATGCCCAAAATAAAGAGATGAATCTCATAGTTTATTAGATATAATCCGTGTAAAGTTTGCTTATCATTTTCGCATAAATTATGACCTAAATTTGGAAACCGCTGAATTTCTCGAATTGGGTCTTTGCGATTTTGGTGAAACTCTGTTCAGCGCAAGGCACTAATGCGCACTATGAGTAGCCGAGAGATTTTCACGAAAAAATGCTGGCAGCAGCAGATTTTCGACTCAGACCTTAAAAGGGCGTGGCATTATAACCACGTGACATTTACTCCGATCGCCAAAAATTTTATGTTATATTGTAGATTGATCTATATGTTATCCATTCTATGTGTTATACTAACGATAAAAGTAAAGGTGGGGATACCAGAGAGCTTCAAAGTAGGATGGTACCCCCCCAAAAAAACTGGGTCGAGTCACCTTAAATAAGAAGGCAAAGCAAAGTGAACTCTGGCGGCTGTAGAAAAATGACGTCATTTTTAATCGCGAAAATGGGCTAATATGGTCAGTAATAAAATTAATTCAAACTTGAAATTCATTTTTTTTATTGAAGCAAACGCGAAAGCATATATGACAATTTTCTTCTTTTTATTATTATTATTATTATTATTATTATTATTATTATTATTATTATTATTTTATTTATTTTACGTACTTTTGGTTTCTCAGAATCCAGTGGTGGCTATAGCGCTACTTCCGAAGCGTTTATTTTTTCGCTCAACAATAATGAAGGCTTGGCACCGTTTGTGAGCAAAGTGAAGAAAGAATACTCAGAAAAGGCAATTTACAGGAAGTCATATTATGGTCCACGTTTTGGCCTGGATGTCTTCATTACAGATAACGCCGACAGTAACGACAAGTCATTAGCACGTTTGGGCTATCGCTACTCTGCTCCACCTGCAGTGCAGGACCAGGACACAGTCCTGGCCGGGACTGAGTACTTCTCACCTAATGAGGTGGAGGTATTCTATCTTGACCCATCCCGCTAAATACAAGATAACACACACTATCATATTTATTGCTATTAAATCTGAGAGAGAAGCAATGGGGAGTTTAATATAACTCAGTTTAAACTTCTTATTAATTGCTGTTTAAATTATTGATGTTCTTTTTTTGTTTGCTTTTTAGTTTTTTTAGAATCCCTCAGTATATATTCAATTGTCTGAAATCTGCTGTTAAAATAGTTTGCCTATAGTTTATTTTAGGATTTCAATATAGCTGAACTATTTAGGCCCGGTAAAGGCTTGGGATTTAGCAATACGTATTACAAGGTAAATCTCTTGCTGAAGCAACTTTCGCCAGCCATTTTAAAAGGCAGCGTGCACTGCTTATCACACAAACATTTTTAAAATTAGTTACCCGAACGATTGCTGCTTTATTTTTACTTAATTCATGATTCACACCTTTTATTTTGTTATTCAACAACCTTTCTTTAACGTACAACCCTCTTGAATATTCAACAAACTGAAAGTCCTAGAAGAGCTTGAACGTAGCAGGGAAGAGCGGGGACAATTTGCCGCCGCGTGACAAAGGTCGATAAGAGCGTTAGGGAAACCAGTTGTGCTATCCAGTGAATAGTGATTTAACTGGTGGATAGCGTTGTTCACCTTTAGAACAACTGGGGCCTGAAGAAGATATAAAACAAATCATTTAAAAAAAATTTAAAACTTTTTACACTTGAAAAAGTCGGCCCAATTTCTTCAAGTTTTTATCCATATGTCCATCCTTGCCATTCTTAGCAACAGAGAACAGGGAAACGGTTTCATTGCCGATAGTAAAGTCTTAAACCACGAAACTGAACCATGACTATTTGAAATTACATTAAAAAGGTTGCAAAGAGCATGACATTGGCAGTTTAAATTGAACTGGGCTATGGAAACATCTAAGCACGTAGTTGTTGTAAAAATAAGCAGTGCTTCTTGTTGTAACCGATTATTGTTAATCATGATTAATTTCATTGGAAAAACAAAAAAGGTATGGGCTTTTGGGTTTGAAAAATGCGGATAAATCATTCATGTTCTCAGTCGACTTATAAACTTACTGCAGGACCCCATAACCCCGAGTCCTGCTCACTGAAATAAGTCTTCACTCCTCCTCTCCCCACCCCCCTCCCCCTTGCCACACCCAATCTTTTTCAGGGTTAAGGCAACCTAGATCTCTTATCCTCTTTAAGTATTGTACATCGAGGGAGGATAAAAAGATGTCGATGTATTTTAAGCTTAATGTGTGTATAAGTAATTACGTTTGTGTGTATAAATAGGAGTTAAAAAAGGGTTAAATAGTTAGGGACTCTATATCTGACCTTCTCCTTAAAGGATGAAGATCAAACTCAGAGCCTATGTCTTAAGGTTATTTATACGGAACGTTAATAGCCTTCACTTTACAGGGAGGAGGTAAAGTGTTCTTTACATAACATTTCATGTAGTTTTTAAACGGAAGTTTTGTACGTAGATCAGGCAACACGTTTTCTCTTCTTCTGTTCGCCGGTTAAGCTGATCAAGACATTTCATAACACCAGATGACGAGAGATAAAAACCAGTCAGTCATTATTAATTTGATTTCTGGAAAGAAGAGTTACGCGAGGAGTTACGAAAATGGAGGCAGGAAGGCTTCCATACTGACCCCTTGCGCCAGAACCCACTCTGTATTGAGATCGCTTCCCCTAGAGAAAGATCTTTATCTCCATACGTTTCTTTTAAGAATAGTTGAGAGAATTTGGTTTTAAGATCATAGCGTTTTCCCTTTGGTGATCATTTTATTCGTCCTCATAACCTTTACTGTTGATGATCTGCTGATGTTGTTAGGAGAAAATTGATGTTGGTCAATCTTGGGACCAAAAGGGTGAAGAATAACAGAATCAAAGTGAAAACAGGAAGCTCATTGTGTTTACAAAGAATCTCTTATTTACTCAGTTTATTTATTTATTTATTTATTTATTTATTGCATGTTATACTTTATGAATCTTTATGGCGAATACACTGTAAGTTGCATTCTTAGGACAGATTAAGTATAATGTAGGTGGACTTTTGAAAGCGTAGCTAGCGAAAACTCCAGTCTCTTGATTGAAGACAGCCAAAACGCAAGTTTCTTAATTCTTGCGTCTGATAAACCATAAAATCATACTAAGAAAGGAAAAGGAGCGGGACTTATGAAAATAGAGGGAGGTGGGAGAAATGAAGGCGGAGAAAAGCAAGGACAATGGTTGCACTCTTAGTTTTTATATTGGCTGGAGATACTGTAGTTTTTTTACATAAAAAACTGGCGGAACCACAATATTTGGTCTTTCAAAAATCTAGCTAGAGAATAGACTGAAGTATTTAAGAATTCCTCGCTATATAATAGCCAAAAATATCAAAAGCAATGTTGTATAGATAGATCATGTGATGGTCCTGTGCTTTTGACCTCGTTGTGATAGTCATATTGGATAAGATTTACATTGATTCTCCGCCTTGTTTTTGAAACAATAAGTGACATCACCATCTATTGCCAGCGTTTTGACTTTAAGGCTTTCAAAAGGAACAAGGTCTGTTTTACAAGCAATATCTCTTGTCAGCGTAAAGATTTTGTAGCCGTGCAGTTAATAAACGTAACGTTGAGGTGATCCAAGTTCTTGTGTGGCATGTGTGGTAATTATTGAAAACACCATGAGTAAAAAAGAGAGATAGCAAAATGTTTTATCATCTCCTTGTACTCTGTTGATAGCTGTGTCTTTCTTGCTGCCCTGGGCTAGTTCCTTTGTCACTAATAAACAATAAAAGTTTCGTACGATGTTAGCTCCTGTTGAATGATTGATGTGGGGTTGGATGATAGCCATTCATTATTTTTTGGATGGTCATCAGGGGGGTAGCCAGGATTTTTCGAGAGGTACGCACAATTTTCCAAACCCTCCTCCCCTCCCCCCTTGCAGCGACGTTTTCATCTAATGCTTTATACCGATGAACAGTTACAACTTAATATAGATATTTCTAGCAATCACAATTTGCCGTCTGTCCTCTTTGAATTTGTATATCCTGTATCTTGCTACCATTTGCGCCCTTCTTCCTGCCTTTTCTCTAAAATGTGTCCACCACTCGTCATTTCTCTGGAAACCGTTGGTGGGACCTACTTGCAGACGTTGGAAAAACAAAACAAAGCAAAACAAACAACAGCTCGAAATTGAGCCTCCAGTCCAAGCTGATTAACAAGTGTATAGCTCTAGTTTTCAGACGCGACAAAATTGCTTAATTTGTCGTTTACTGTTCATCATTATTGATACAAAAAACAGTAATTGCATGCAAGGGTCCTTGAATAAAACTTTACAAGCACAATTTACAAGTGTATTTATTGTTTTGATTGACGTTTGACTGTTTCTAACTATCCTTAGGCTGATTTAGCAACAGAACGGGAACGTCAGTTGACGACGGCGCGCGCAAATCAAATAACTGGCTTAACCAATGGGAGAGCGGCAAATTGAGCACCGGAAGTCGTGTTTAGTCCTTTCCGCGCGCTTTCCCGTCGTCAACTGACGTTCCCGTCCTGTTGCTAAATCAGCCTATTTACACAAATGCGAGGTGGCCACCACCTGGATTCATCATTTGAGTGTGACATCTCACTGCCAGTCGTTTCGAGGGTCCCAAATAGGTTTATCGGGACCCGGGATTTACCTTATTTAAACCTGGGATTCAGTATTTGAAAGCAAAATCGGGGCGAGTTTCGGGATTGAAATTATGCGCAGGAGGTGGGATGCCAAAAATAACCCTCGGGATTACGGGATTGTACGAAATTTTGGGTCGGATTATGGGATTTAAGAACCCTATTGGGGATCCTCCGTTTCCAAGGTAGGGCTATGAACGGACGGACATTCACATGAAACCAGGTTACCTAAAAAGGGGCTCCTTTTAATAATTCTACTATACAGAACTGACGTCCCAATCCTCGCAACACACCTTCACAATCTTTTATTTATCTTTAATCGGTTAATTGCCAATAGTATACCCTTTTGGCACGAAATTTTTAGGGGAGTTTATTTTTGCAGATTGGCGATTTTTTGTGTTTTGCGGGAACTAATTGTTCCGATTAGGACATATTGGTTTCTCTTGCTGGGAATTGATTTTCGCGATTTTTAGAACCCAGTATCCAGCATTGATAATATTTTCGTTTTTATTGAGTACGTGCAACAGAAATATATATTTTCAAACAATAAACCTGTATTTCAGTTGTGATTGAACAGAGACGATTTCTTAGCACTGTATTTTTTGTGTAGCGAATTTAAGTTAGAGAATATTTAGTCTGGAGTAAATTTTTACGGTAATTTTCATTTGCGGGAAAAAATTGGAACCGGCAAAAATTTCGTGCCACACGGTAGGCTGATCGTGGCAATGGTTCAGAGCTAGCTAGGCTGTGGATGATGATAGATAGGTTTTGGCTGTGGACGTAACCACGGGCAAAGAAAGAGCCGTTACAGCTGCAGTAGATGGAAGACTGTTCCACACAGGTATACAGTGGGCAAAGAAAGAGTACTTGCATTTTAGGCATCAAAGCGGGTAAAAAGTTGTATGTCATGCTATGGGACTTTCTGGTACAGGTGGAGTTAAGAGATAACTCACTAAGAAAGGGCAAAGCGACTTAATTATACTGGATCTTATAAAAAGTGAATTGAAAGATCATTAAGTATGTTCTTCGCTCTTGCGTTGACAACATGTACTTCACTTATGTGTTATCTCTAGTTACAAAACACAAACTTCTTGAATTAATTCTGGGTGAGGAGCAATAGGGTTTCTTTTAGAAGTTCATTGTAAATTGTAAATACATTTTTAGTCTATCGATTTTTTTTAAAAAAAGTTGCTTGAAAAAACTTAATTAGCTGTCTGAAGGTGCACCCTCCGAAGTGATGAAACCGCAAGTGCGAATAAACGACTCCCACGAAGAAATGAATCCAGAAATGAGTCCAGAAATTGGTGGACGAAAAAAATATAATTATGCAAATGACCTTGTAAAGATTCAGGCCTGT